TCAATTAAAGAGTATATTTTTATTTGTTGCAGGTCTTGACCTCTAAGGAGGTGACAACAGAGGAGAACTCATGGACTGACTTCTGGAAGCTCCGGAGAGCTTATTCTCAGGGGTCTGTGAGACATGATCATAGAAAACCGTCGGCATTGACGTGCGTCTCCTGAGATTCTTGGAGGCTCGCAGTGTAAAGAAAGCTGGTGAGGTGAAAACTCCTCTACTTTGGTTTCTCTCTGTTTCACTTCAGACGTCTGAAACTCTAGAAAGACGTATTAAGTGAAAGCAAGACAAACCAGGTCTCAAATCTTTCTTCTTCCTCTCTTTCAAGCTTATGTTTCTTGAAACTATAACATCTTTGTTATTGAGCTGGAAAGCTAAGATCTTTTAAAGGAATCCTCTTGAATAAAGCCTAAACCTTTGCTTATATTGTCGAATTACTTGATGATTCGTTCCTAAAGGTATTTTTTTGGTTGTTGTTGTTGTTGTATTGTATTTAATTTGTCGAAGACAAAGAAAAAAATAAGGGAGGGAACACAAGGAGAGTATTGTTAATGGAATCAGAGAGACTGCCTAAATTGTAACTCTGTCCATGAACCACTCAATAGAGATCTAAATAAAACAAAGCATGGAAAAAGAAACCAAATCTCTGAACTCTCATTCTTGCGTACACATGTTGTTTTATTGGGTTTCATGAACCCAAATCTCTAAGTTCTCGGAGTACTTTGTTACTTTCAATGTTATAAAAATAAATAAAACACAAAGCACATTTTATGAGTTAGATTAATCTTGGAAAAAGTCTTTCATGGGTATAAGAATATTGTGAATCTCATTTTTTTATATATTGTATAAAAATATTGTAATTCTACCCTTTAGAGTTTATAAAGGAGTTTCTCTATGCCAATACTTTTCATATTTGCTACTTAGCATATACCATTCAATAAATATTTTAATAAAACTAGAGATTATCACCGTACTATGTGCAAATTACATATTTTAATTTATTCAGTTTTTAATTTTAATTATTATTTAAATGGTTTGGTTATGATTTTTATTCGGTTGTATATTATATTTTAATTTTTTTAATTCTATAGTTTTATTCTAATATTTAAATTCTTGTCTACGTTATTTCTCGATTTTATTACTTCCTAATTTCTGGATCAAGATAGCAAGAGATTTATTTTATTTTAAAATAGTGTTACACAAACCTAAAATAGTCATTCAGGTAAAGCAGACAGAAATAAATTAAACTAGGCTTTCTTCTCTTTGCTTTTGAGTTCCATTTACTTTTTGTTTAGAATAATGTAATATTTTTCTTAATTATAATGTTTGAAAATGTGTTGAATTTTAATATGTCTTTGTATCTAAGTATGCACATAATTTATATTTTCTATATATCGTAAATGTTAAAAGGAGAATCCAAACTATTGAGATGTAAATTTAATTTAATTAAAAATATATAATTAATATTTTCATTTGAAATATTGAATTTTTCGAGTTGTGATAAAATATTTAATTTTCATATTATTGTCGCCTCAAACAATGATAAAAAGTCTTATAAAAATAATTTTATAGTTATATATATATATATATATATATTTAACTTAAAATTAAATTAAATTTACAACTCAGTTGGACTGGTGTGACCATTGACCTAATTGCAACGTCAAGTTAATGTTTAGTTTGGTATTCAAAATATTGATGACAAGAATAAATTAATATCATCCAGTTTATAAATAAATATAATAAATAAACATTATTCATAACAACAAAAGCTATACAATGTTAAAATTTTATAATATCATTTTAATTTTTGTTAAAATTTAATTCATTTTATATACTTAATTTTCAGATTTTGATAGTGATTATTTTCTACCAACATATTGAAGATAGAAAATAATTAAAACTACAGATTAAAATATTACATTAAATATTATGTAAGTTATTTATACCAATAACAAAATGAGGGTTCTGTTAAAAGAAAACTAAAAAATCTGTATTTTGTAAAAGAAACTGTTCATGATTAGTCTTATTTATAAAATTCTTATTTGCATTAATTACAATAATTTTGTCTATCATTATCTTTTTCTATTTAATATAATATTATATTTCTTCTGTTTTTAATTATACAATATATTATATATATATAAATAACATGATTGCAAATTTTGTTTAATAGATTAGCCGCGTGTAGCGCGGCCAAAAGATCTAGTATTAGTTAAAAACTCTTGGCAACATATTGTCCGATAATGGTGCTACTATATTATATTAAAAAATAGATTCATCAAAGAGGAGTTTCTATTTGAAAAGTGTATGTTAAATTGACACTCGTAATAATATTATTTGTGTATATGAAAGAGAAATAAATAAAACATTTTTTTTTTTTTTTTTGCTTAAAGGATAAATAAAACATTTTATGTTGGTAAATTACTTTTGTACGAGCCAGTTCGCCCTACTTTCAATTGATCTCTGACCCACAAATCGAGGAGCCATAACGAGCATTGCTTCTTCATGCCGTGGTCACCGTTGATCCTCTCTCCTCTTGGTTCCCTTTGTCTGGTGCTGCTACTCACCATTGCTCCTCTCTCTGCCGTTTGTTTCTCGTTTCCTCTACTCCGTTGTGCAATGTTTCAATGTTGAACCTTTGTCGCTGCCTCCTCTTTTCACTCCTCCATCATTGCCTCTGCTCACTCCTCCCGCGTGGCCTCCTCTAGTCAGTGTTTCATCGTCACGGTTCTTATTGGTGTGAGGCAAAACGCTGGAGGTGCTCAGCTTGGGGGCGAGCTTGCTGGGTTTGGCCCTTCTCACCTCCTCGCTTCTGCATTTTACTTTGGAAGTCTCCAGAAATCTAGTCAAGGATTCACCTCTCCTAAGTAGTTTTTCATATATGTGGTCTTGTCCTATTATAAATTCAACAATGGAATCTCTCTATAAAGAGAGTCTACGACAGCCTCGTGTCCTTCCACCGAAAATCAACCTTACCTCAGCAGACCCTGACGATTTGGAGTATGGGAATCGTGAGTCTCAGTTCTCATCCCGTTGACCAGAACGTGTGTTTGTTGCAAAGGATGAATACAATAATGTATTATATTATATGTTGAATACAATAATGTTGTTTGAAATCAATTTCTACAGATTTTAGACATATAATAATGGATAGATTCGGATTTTTACTAATTTTATATTTATAAGTAATGTGTAGATTCTGATTTCTATTGATTTTAGAGTGATAGATTAAGTGCGAAATGTGTATTCCAAATAATTTTGGATTATTATTATTTACGTAAAACATGTATTCTGAACGTAGTAGATTCAATGAAAAAATGAATTTCATTTTTTGCTTCGTAGAATGTCAATTCTACTTTATGTAGACATAATTTGAAATTATGATTTATTTAGTCATTTTTAGAACTTTTTTTAAAAAAATACCACTAAATTGATATATTATTTCATTAGTATAGTTATTTTTACCAACTTTCTTTTGTTTGTAAAAACTATTTATTTAATTTATTTTTGAAAATACTAAAAGACCTTAAAGGTAAAACTTGTATAAAATATAAATTAGCCTAATGTTACATAGCTATCATTTTTGGCATAAAAAAGTTTTTTTTTCCCAAAGTTTTAAAAAGTCTACACTATTCACCATAATATCCTAAAAATTCGTTTATGGAATCAAAGATGAAGATATCATCGACCGTCTTACCATCCCGCTCACTGAACAATTTCCTCTTCAGATCGATTGAGATTCACATAGTCTCCTGGATTAACATAGTTGGTGTTACAGATGTTCTTATTGGTCTAATTGATTGTTTAGCCAACCGTAGCTTCTCAATTTGGCATCTTTGTGACCCCCCCCTCTCCAAAATTGATATAAGTATTTCATTGGTTATTTTTACCAATTTTCTTTTGTTTGTAAAACTATTTATTTTCGAAAATACTAAAAGACATTAAAAGTAAAAAATGTATAAAATATAAATTAGCCTAATGGGACATAGTTATCATTTTTTGGCATAAAAAACAATTTTTCCCAAAGTTTTAAAAAGTCTGAACTTTTCATCCATAATATTCTAAAAATCGTGTATGGAATCGAAGATGAAGATATCATCAACCGTCTTACCATCCCGCTCACTGAACAATTTCCTCTTCAGATTGATTGAGATTCACCTAGTCTCTTGGATTAATATAGTTGGTGTTACAAATGTTCTCATTGGTCTAATTGATTGTTTAGTTAACCGTATCTTCTCAATTTGGCAGCTTCTCAATTTGGCATTTTCCCAAAGTTTAAAAAAGTCTGAACTTTTCATCCATAATATCCTAAAAATTTGTTTATGGAATCGAAGATGAAGATATCATCAACTGCCTTACCATCCCGCTCAATGAACAATTTCCTCTTCAGATCGATTGAGATTCACCTAGTCTCCTGGATTAACATAGTTGGTGTTACAGATGTTCTCATTGGTCTAATTGATTGTTTAGCCAACCGTAACTTCTCAATTTGACTGCTTCTCAATTTGGTATTTTTCCAAAGTTTTTAAATGTCTGAACTTTTCATCTATGATATCCTAAAAAATGGTTTACGGAATCGAAGATGAAGATATCATCAACTATCTTACCATCTTGCTTCCTGAACAATTTCCTCGTCAGATCGATTGAGATTCACCTAGTCTCCTAAATTAACATAGTTGGTGTTACAAATGTTCTCATTGGTCTAATTGATTGTTTAGCCAACTGTAGCTTCTCAATTTGGCATCTTCCCCCTCCAAAAAAAAAACCCTTTCGTCAGGGTCTTTTGAACATTAGGTTTCGGATTTTAAGTGGAGCGTTTCAAACCCTTTCGTCAGGGTCTTTTGAACATTAGTTTTCGGATTTTAAGTGGAGCGTTTCTTCGGGACGGTCCACTCCTGCAGCACATCTTTTCTTCTGTTGTAGTAAATCTTCGTTTATCAACTTGCGGTTGAATTTACCTCTGGTTGTATTCTCTCAAGCCATTTGGACGTTGTACCAAAAAAAAGAGTTACTCCTGTATATATATTCTCCGAGCACAAGGGAATTTATGTATTTTATCGTGTATAGCGTGAAGTACACCAAACAAAACAAAAGATTAAGAAAAAAGAATAATAATTTTAGATACATTGACAACGAACAGGAACAGAAGTACCAGCTGGTTTTCTCCTCTCCCTAATCACTGCTTCCTTCACCATAGGCACTTTCTGATGAACCTTCTTCCATATGTGATTCACTGCACCATCGGGTTGAACCGGTCCAATACCATCCGGTTTACCATTGTGATACACAAAAACTGACTGAACCTTTGCCATTCTACTTCTGAAGGTTTCCTTGTCTCTTTCAGAGAACTTTCTGAGATGATTAGCCAACCATTTAGGCCTTAATGCATCACTTACAGAGACAAAGACTGTGAACTCTGAGTAATCGATCATTCCTTCAAACGGGAGCTCTATGTTGTCGCTGACAATCACAGGGATGCAAAGGCTTTGTATGGCGTCAAAGAGACGGCATGAAGTGGGAGTGTCACCGGCTGGATGCAAGCAGAACTCTGAGTTTCTCATTCCTCTTATAGACTGCTCTTTTCCCGTTGCATTAGGGAAACCTTCTTCCATGACAATGTCGTGTTCATCCACCAGTAAGTCCCAAAGTTTTTCTCTTATTAACCCTCCCTGACAAGTTCAATATATAAGAGATACATAAAACAAAGAGTAAACAGCTAAAATTAGGATTCAATTGTTTTAAATGCCAATTTATGAATAATTACACAGAATACGTAGAAGCAAACGCAAACAAATATTTGCTCTGAGCCATGAACTCACTAACAGAAGTGTCTGCAAAATAATATGTAAAAGATTCTTGAAAAAGAAGAGTGTTTCGCAAGAGTGGTTACCCGATGTCTGTGCTTAGCGCCTTTGAAATAAAGAAGGCTGTGACGTCTTTGGTTCTGAGACAGATCTAGTCTAGGAAGAAGATGCGTGTATGGAACTATCACATCCTTGATGACAGAGACCTGAGTATGCTCTATCCTCTCAGGGAAGCTACTACCATTGAAGGACTTAGAATCTTGCCTGAACCATCCTCCAAAATCCACCACGAGTAGAATCGATAAAGCAATCTCCTCACGGACATGCCACATTGCAACAGGGTCTGCCAAAGAACGCTTCAACATTTAAGTAACCTGAGCAAATCCAAATACAGGTTTAAACTTCTACACCAAATCCAACAAGACACTGCTCCACTCAATTCTCTATCTTAACAACACAAACAGGGCAGATTTATGAAAATCTATAGTAATGAATCAAAAGCAAGATGGTGTTACCAGTTAGGACAAAGACGTGATCACGTCCACCGGATCGCTTCCAAGCTTGAGTCTTCTTCAAAAAGTCAAGAACTTGTCTCTGTCTCTGATAATCTAGGTTTCCAGATTTCTTCCTAAAGGAGGTGCCTTTTCCATTTCCAAGCTCCATCTCTGCGCTAAGAGTCGCGAAGAAGGGGACGAACACTACATCAGCTTCGGATTCACTGAAAACCCTTTTGGCGAAAGATCCAGTACGCTTCTTCGGTGGGGTCTCGAGGTCTCCCATGATCCAGTACTCAGCACTGTACTGCTTAATCAGCGGATTCTCCGGGTACGGTGGGTATTTACCGGGTTTTGCTGAATTGGGTTTCGGGGTCGGGTGATCCGGGTCGCTGGGTATACGTGAATCTGGGGAAGAGGACCAGTACTTGTCGAGAAGACCATAGTTCAGGGATCTCGGAAGCTCAGCTACGAAGACGTTGATGCCGGTTTGAGAGGTATCATGTGAGATCCTCGGATTTGGGTCGGATGTTAAGGAATTGGAGAAGAGGAAGAGAAGCGAGACGACCGAGACGAGAGAGGAGGATAGGAGTAAGCAAGAGACTGAGCAGAGAGGTTTAGCGACCGCCATTGTTGTGATCTTAGCAAGCATCGGACGTAGCTTTAAGATCTATGTCTTGCTTCTTACCTTCACGATGGATTCCCTTTGAACCTCTGCGTGAATCAGAGGCACACAGTTATAGGAAGAAGAAACAAAAAGCGCGCCGTTTTAGATCCAGCGTTAAGAGACGCCTTGGCGTTCTAGTACATTTTTTTTTTTTCTTTTTTGTGAATCGGCGTTCTAGTACTTTTGTGTAGAAGAACTCTCCCTTGTCTGTTTCATCTCTTTTTTTTTTTTTAACGTCTAAATTGATTCTGTTAAAGTGATGATTGTTTTTATTAGTTTTTATTTTTTAGATTTTGGTTTTAGATTTTATCTTTTTATTTTTGATTTTTAGCTTTTGGTTTTAGTTTTTAGATTTTCATTTTGGTTTTTGGTTTTGCTGTAGTTTTTATTTTTTAAAAAAATAAGTAATACATTGTTTTAAAATAATACAACAAAAATATAAATAAAACATTTAAAAGCTACTATTAAAATATAATGATTATTATTCAATAATACAAAATACATTAACTTTTTCTATGTATAAACTTGTTCGTTTGGATGGTGTATATGCAGAAAGATGTAGATCTCATACAAAAGCACTTAAAAAAGAGAAAATTGGCAAAAAAATGACACTTTGAACTTGGATTTGTCACAATAAGATTTGTATCACATATTTTTGGAAAATAGGATTTTCATTCTTGTTAATACCAAACTACCCCTAATTTATCAATTAAGTTGAATTAAAATTATATATTATAATTTTCGTAATTGATTTTAAAGTTAAATAAAATAAACAAAACTTAAAAAACTACAAAAAAGAAAAACTTTTAAAAATAAGAAAAAGGCAAAAGGGGATTTTCGATACCCTAATTTCAAACCTCCTTCTCTTCTCCGCCGTAGAATAAGGTGACTTCCATGGCGATTTACGGTTCTCTGGAGAGAAGATCATAGTCTTTCTCGGAGTTTCATCTTCCTCTTTTCTCGAATCTCGTCTTCGTCATCCTCCTCTTCGATCTCCCCCAAGATACAACGAAATCTCTTTTCTCCTTTCCTATTTGTCGTCCTCCGGTTATCGTTTTCAAGCTTGAAGTGTTCTTCCAACAATTTCGTCTCAAGTCTTCACACAAGGTATTCACTTACTTCTATTGATTCTCATCTAAAACTTAATCGAATTGTTCTTCCCTTCTACACTGATTTTTTTAAAAATCGATTTGAACTTGGATTAAAATCGATTTGAACTTGAATTATGATCATGTAGTACACTATCCTTTTACACAGATTTCTGTAAAATCGATTTGAACTTAATAGAATTGTTGATCCCTTTACACAGATTTTTTAAAATCGATTTGAACTTGGATTACACAGATTTTTTTTTTTTAAATCGATTTGTCTTGCTCTCATTAACATGTTGAACTAACAAGTTTTGAACTTGGATTTTAGATATGTCGCTGGAGTTACCAAAGAGGATTTTCAAGGAGGGTGAGGAGCCCCAAGTGACTCAAATCAACAACAGCTGCAGGATTGACTACATTATTCGAAAGTTCACTGAGTGGCTGCCAAAGGAGTTGGAAGCTGTGAAAAAGGATCCGGTCTTTTCTCAGTTTTATAAGCTGCATGACAATGGTCTTGGGTTCTCCGCGAGAGTTGTACACAGCTTCTTGTGTAGGGAGCTGGTGACTTACAAAATGCACGAGCTTTGGTTCATCTTTGCGAGGAGACCACTTCGATTTTCATTACAAGAATTTCATGCAGTAACCGGGTTTGAGTGCAATACTCATATCTCTCTTAAGGAGTTCGAAGACTGGAAATACGATGGTGGTTTCTGGAGCAATGTGTTGAGGAGAAGAGATGGATCACTTACACTCTTCAACCTGTAGGACAAGGAAGCTGTTAAGAAGTGGAAGAATGCAGATCGCATACGACTGATCTATCTCGCCATCATTCTTTGTGTGGTTTTAGCGAGAGATGAGAAGGCTAATATCCCCCTCAAATACATCAAGGTGGTCATGGATCTTGAGAAGGTTGGCAAGTATCCTTGGGGAGTAGCGGCCTATGATCTTCTCTGCAACTCAATNCAAAAATCGTGACAAGCTGAAGGATAAGACTACTAGTTATGTCTTGGATGGTTTCTCTTACGCCTTGCAGATTTGGGCAATGGAAGCTGTACCAAAGATTGGGAAGCTTTGTGGAAAAAAACTTAACAAAAGTTTCACAAACGGTCCTAGATGCATAAACTGGATGGGAGCTGCAAAGGTGTCATACGATGAGATCAATCGGTTGGAGCAAATCCTGAAACCCGAGGTAATCTCTAATCTTTATGTAAGCTGAGTCCAGCTAGTTTTGTATGAGTTTTTTAAGATCTAAGTTTCTGTAAATTTCTTGTGTAGGATGACATCTATCCATATATCGACTGGAGGGGAAATTATGATATAGTCCAAGCTCATGTGTTTAGCAGAGCTGATGATGTGGAGGATGAGAGAATAGATAATCTGATGGAGTTGATAAGAACAAAACATGATTTTAGTGACCATGTTTGGGGTATTGAAGAAACACCAGAGGATGAATCGGCTGTGAATGATGACTCAGCTGTCCATGATGAAGCCGCTGAGAGTGATGAAGACTATCATACTCCAAAAGGATCAAAGAACCTAGGCGCTACATCAAGCAGGGGTAAGAAGAGGCTTCCAGATCGTGGTATGGAGAAAAGGAAGCATAAGATTCTCTCTACTGGACCAAAGCAAACGCCTTTTAATGAAGACATGAAGGCTTTTGTGACACAGTTGTTTGAGCAGGGTTTCTCTGGAATGGAACAGAGGCTTCAAAAATAGATGGCTGAGACATTTGAGAAAATGAAGACAGAGCTAGAAGATTCACGGAAGGAACCTAACGTTGAAGTTGAGCCTGGAGAGTCTTCACCGAAGAAGTCTTCACCGAAGGAGCCTTCAAAGAAGCAGTCTTCACCGAAGAAGCCTTCACCGAAGAAGCCTTCACCGAAGAAACCTTCACCTACCAAACCTTCGACGAGCCAACCACCGTTGAGGAGGTCCACACGCGGGGTAAAAAAACACTTGTCTTCACCACTCTCTTAAATGTTATTTTCTCTTGTTTATTAGGTGGTTTGCGTGTCTGTTTGTCTTACTATCATCTATGACATCGGTCTGTTTTATAAGGTCTCGGTTTGTAAGTGTGCTTGGTTTGTAAGTGTGCTTGGTTTGTAAGTTTGCTTGGTGTGTTAGTGTACTTGGTTTGTAAGCGTGTTGTTTGAAACTTATGTACAATGTTGGTGTGTTAGTGTCCTTGGTTTGTAAGCGTGTTGTTTGAAACTTATGTACAATGTTGGTGTGTAAAATATTAGAATTATTTATTAAATATTCATGTAACAGACTTGTTTGTGCTTAATATTATGTGAATTGACATAACATGAAGCATCCAAGAGTTCCTTTGATGTGAATTTTAGTGAAGAAGATGATATCCCAGAGTTCATAGATACGCAAGGCGTTGAAGGGCTTTCTCAGACCTCGTATGTGCCCGGCTTTGATCCATCTCAGACCAATAAGAGAGACGAGTGGTGGACTCCAAGGACTTCAGTCAGAGATTCAGAAGCTCCACTGCCGTCACAGTGGCATAAATGGAATAAAGGAAAAGGACTTTAGCTTACTTATTCACCATTGCGCACAGATGGTTCTCCGCAGTCGTCACTATATTATTGCTCTGAAGAATCATGGATACGATTCACGGAATGGGTTAAGAAACCAAAACCTTTACCACTTGGTCCGTCAATCTTAAATTTGCCTATAGCTACAAGGATAGTAACTCCAGGAAAATGGCTTGGCAACGAGGTAATGTTTTATTGTACTAATTTGTTGAATTTATCTTTTGTAAAACATCTTGGTTGCTACATTAGTTTAATTTCATTGTGAATATTCAGGAAATGGATGCATTTATGTTTATATGGCGAGTTAACACAACTTTGAAGCGTTGGGGCCCGAGCCGTGTTGCTTTCATGAGTGCTATGTTCTGCCTCCAAATCGATGCTGCATACAACAAGTTCACTCGTGACAAAAAAACCTATGAATTGCCTGAGTTTCTTCTTGGGTATGGCAGAGGAGAACTTCCATCTCATGGGCGGACTGATCTAGTTTGGGGTGTGGATATTGATCGTCTCTACTTTCCTTTGTTTGTAAATGGTAATCATTCTCTCCTCTACACGACTAATTTTTCATGAGTACTACTATCCTTTGTTTGTATATATTGTCCATGGTAATTATTGTCCATTGCAGGTAATCACTGGGTTGGTGTTCATGTCAACATTATTGAGAAAAAAGTGGAAGTGTTGGATAGTGGTCGGGGAAGAAATAGACAACACGTTGAGAAGTTTGCTGCTCTGATTCCTAGGATAGTGAAGGCCGTTGGACCACCTGAAAGACAGAAGCAGCTACTCCTCAAATCTTATTCTATCGTGGATGTTCCTATGAAGACGAAATTGAACAAGTCTTGTTGTGATTGCGGTGCATACGCACTCAAGCACTTGGAATGCCTTCTGCTTGACCTAAGTTTAGTTGATGATGAAATAATCAAGGGTTGTAGACAGAAGATTGGTGTGGATTTATGGGAGGCTGCACACGATCCCATATACGCTGAGGCAATGACACGATATGTGCCTTCACCATGGGAGAGAGAAGAGTCATTTGAACTCGAAGATTGAATGTGTCTAAGTATGTGGAAAACTCTAGATTGAATGTGTCTAAGTATGTGGAAAACTCTAGATTGAATGTGTCTAAGTATGTGTAACTCTAGCTTTGGATTTTTTAGGAATTATGTGGCAACTCTAGCTTATGTTTGGATGGAAATTTGTGGCAATTCTAGCTTTGGATTTTTAAGTTTCTCTAATTTGATTTTCTGCAAAGTATAGTCTAATATATCATCATTATTCATAAAACCCTAAACCATAAACATACCCTAAACCCTAAACATACCTTTAACCCTAAACAAACCCTAAACAGTTATATATATGTTTTTGAAGGATTTTTAGTTCCTCTAATTCGATTTTCTGCAAAAGTATAGTGTAATATAACATCATAATTCATAAAACCCTAAACCCTAACAAACCCTAAACCCTAAACATACCCTAAAGCCTAAACAAACCCTAAACAATTATATCTATGTTTTAGAAGTATTTTTAGTTCCTCTAATATATGATCATATTTCTGCAAAGTATAGTGTAATATATGATCATAATTCCCAGGCTACTTTCTTTGCTCCATGTACTGAAACAAATTTAGAGGATTCAAAAACAATTTAGATCATAATTCTGCAAAGTACACACGTTTGTAATAGGTTGAAGCCGTCCATTTTAGTGATTTTGTTCTAATCTCCCTTTGGTAGAATACACGTTATATACGTATCAAACGACGTCGTTTTGCTAATTATTTTGACCTACTCCCTTTTTTTCCTCATTCTTCCTCGACAGAGAGATTTACAGCGGCGACAATTTGGAGATCGACTCAAGAATGTATTCGGTCAATTCTTCATCAACTCCAATAGATCGACTCGCCAAACAACACGAAATTCCCACGAGATGCAATTGCGGTCAAGCAGTGTCTCGTTTCACTTCAAAAACAGTTAAAAATCCAGGAAGATTATTTCATTGTTGTCCGATGGGATCTGAGAAGGTTAGTCTTATAACCATGTAACTTTGCTTTGTTTCAATCTAACTGTTTATTGGATGTTAATGATGAAGGACAAAACCCACTTGTTCAAATGGACTGATAAGTCGGTTCTTGAGGAAATTGAAGACTCCAGGACTTGTTTGACATGCTGCTTGTTGACAATATTGAGATTCAAAAATCAGTGGGAGGTGGTGAGGCCATGATGAAAGGCCATGAGAGTAGAATTTAAGAGACGGAAGATGCAATCGCTCATTGTGAAGAGAAGATCATAGAATGCATTAGAGAATTAAAGATCATAAAAGCTTTGTTTGTTTGTTGTTGGTGATGGTGTTCATGTACATTGCCTGATGTTCATGTGCTGCCTCAAATTGTACTTTATTTTTCAAACAAGTTTAAGACTATGTTTCTTGTTATTTCTTGATGATTATTTCAGATACCAAATTGTCACAAACATTGATCGATTAGTCTCAAGAGTTTAGCAAATACCAAATAGTCAAATACGTTCTTAAGTAAAAGATCATTGTTGATTCAAGATCAACAAGAAACAAAACAGAAACAAAATAACACACAAAACAAACTAGATGGGTAAATCGCATGTTCCTCTCTTGTGTCCTTGGGTACCACAACGACTACACTTGTGTTTTTTATTCTTTGTTGATCCGTGAGAAGATTTTATCTTGTCTTCTACTGATTCATACCTTCTCTTTATTGGTCGACCAACACTCTTTCTTGTCTCTGGTGGTAAATTAATCTTAGCAAGTTTAACCTCAGCGGGGACATTCCATTCAGACTCTGGAACTGCTATTGGATTAATGCATTCCTCATAGGCGGTTCTCCACGTTGCAGTGGTGTATAAGAAATCAGTAAATTTGTGCACTTCCAGGTCTGCGTAAAAAAAATGTGATTGATTTGAGTCACTATGATTAATTACCAAAAATGAATAGGTCCCAAGTTCAAGTGTTTATACTTCCATACCACGTGAATAAATTGCAGGAATGGCGTGTCGGCAAGGAATTTTTCCTATATCATACTTCCCACATGTGCATGTTCTTCTTTCCAAATCAACAAAACAATCATATATGTCACCTTTCACAAGTGATTTGAAGTCGTCAACCTTGTGAACTTGAAACCCTTTTGCCTTCACAATTCTCCTATCAATCTTTTTCTCCACCTTAGNGTGCATGTTCTTCTTTCCAAATCAACAAAACAATCATATATGTCACCTTTCACAAGTGATTTGAAGTCGTCAACCTTGTGAACTTGAAACCCTTTTGCCTTCACAATTCTCCTATCAATCTTTTTCTCCACCTTAGTGGTTAAAGGATCAAGATGCTTAGAGCTTACCAAGCGACGCTCATAGAACCATCGAGTCAACAATTCTCTTATACTATCTAGCAAAGGAATAACCGGATATTCTCTAGGTATTCTCAGTATTGAATTTATCGACTCTGCAGGGTTTGTGGTCCTAATGTCATACCTTTTACCAGGGAAGAGAGGACGAGCCCATTTGCGCACATCAGCCTCCCATAGATATCTTCCAAGGTCAGGACTCATAGCAAAAATTTTGGTGATACGTTCCTCAAATTCAGTGTACCTATATGCCCGTGAAGCCTGTTCAACCAAGGCAGTGAACCCTTTTGTCTTGAAAAATGCAACCACATTGGTCAACAAGTGATGAATGCGAATTCCATGTGCTGATCGAGGGTAGACAGTCCCAATCGCGTTAGCATTAGACGCATTTCTATCTGAGACAAAAGCTAAGTCTTGACAATCAGCAATAACCACTTTCAACTGTCTGAAGAACCAACCCCATGAGTCGTCATTCTCTGAATCAACAACTCCAAATGAAATCAGATACAAATCAGAGTTACCATCTACAGAAGTAGCAACAAGTAGAACTCCTCTGTATTTATTTTTCAGAAAAGTTCCATCAACAACAATCACCCTCCGCATTGCATTGTAGAATCCTCTAACTGATTGGCCAAAGGACATAAATAGATACATGAATCTCCCCTTCTCATTAAGTTCATAGTGAGTATGCGTCCTAGGATTAGCTTCTTTAAGCATGTGCAAATACGATGGTATTTTAGCGTAACTGCGATCTGGTATACCTCTAGTAGCTGCTATAGCAAACTCACGAGCTTCCCAAGCGTGCCAATAATTAATCTCACAACTATGCTCCAATCTCATGAATTGAATGATGTTATTTTCTTTTGGGCCATCGTTGGCATCACCATATCGATGTTGTATTAGACTCCCAATTGTTCTTGCCGATGCTGTTTTTCCGAATTTGCTTTTCTTTGAAGGAGCACATGTATGTCTTTCCTCACACTGGTTGATCATGAAATATGTAGACCCGTCCAGACCTTCTGCACCCACAATCCAGTTGCATAATGCATCCTTACATCGGCCATACCACCATTTTCTCGTGGATTTCAGAACAGTGTAATCGAAATGATTCTGCATAGCCAAAACCTCCATTGTTGCCTTCAACACCTCTTTACTTCTGAAAATTTGATTTTTCTTCACGAAATCTCCTCTCCAAGATCAACCATCCTTTTCACTATCTCCATTATTTCGAGAATCTCCAATGTTTTCACTCCTTAAACCATCATTAGCGCAACCATGATCCTTACTTCTATCACAAGACTCCTTTGACGGCTTCACAAACTCTGCTCTATTTTTCTCATGAACTTCTTCATCCTCAACATTACTTGAATCACACGGCTCCTTATTCAATCAATATTGACTCATTCTTTTTGATTAACACCAGAACCAGAGAACGTGACACACAAAGTAGTAGATGAATTCTTCTTTGCATACGCCACAAAATTAGATGATTGTCGATCATTGGTGATAATAATTGGAGGATTCCCTCTTTGATTCTCCATCGAATAACTGAACTCAGCATTCACAACAGTATGATCCACCCCATAATCCTCACACACGATCCTCTTGACCTTCTCCAAAGGAGTAGTAGTTTCTAATGTTATCATTCGACCACGCCTTGCTTTGTCTACTACGAAACTCCACTCTTCACTGCAACTAGACACCCATTCACCAGATTTAACATAGATTAGAACCATGATGTATTGATAGAGAGAAGAGATGATTGTGTGGATGAAGAAGAGAGAAACACAAAAAAAAACAGAAAAGGATCGTGGGGAGGAGGAGAAGAACGTGAAATTCGGAGAAAATATTCTTTGCTAGATTTAGGGTAGATTTAGTTTAGATTTAGGAAACTTCTTTAACCGAATATGGAAGTTTCAAAATTTTTCGGAATTTGCCTAGAATATGTATACTACCAACACAGAACACAGTATAGGCGGTATGAAACATATTCTTTCTAAAGGCGACATATAAGGTAAAAGGCAGAACATGTTTTGGCACGTAATGTAGCCGAATTATATCATTGAGTTGTGGCTAAATATCGTTTTCAAGCTATAGGTAGAACGAAAACATCTTTCTAGATTACAACGTAAGTAATTCTATCTTTGTCAGAATATACAAGAAAGGTTATATTACGGTATATATCTTTGTCAGAATATACAAGAAATGTTAGATTACGGTGTATATCTTTGATATATCTATGTTTATAACTTAGAATCTGATTTATAAACTAAGTAGATTACCAGAATGAGTATTCTAACTTTGGCTAGAAGATTAAATAAAATATGATACCAAATTTTTTTATTTTATTTAAACATATATATTGTCATACTTAAGTTTACAATAGTTTTCATATTTTTTTACTTTTTTAAAATTGAATTTACTATTTTTCCATTAAAGAAGGGTAAAACATGTCCATAAATGGTCAAAAGTATGAAAAATCCTATTTTGACAAACACAAGTTCAAAGTGTCCCATTTTTCCAATTCTCCCTTAAAAAAACCAGTTAAGGTAAAAATACAAAATCAAATATTTTTCTTTCTTCTTAATAGTATACTAGGTGATTTTCCCGTGCTCATGCACGGGCATGTATATTTATAAAATAAATATACAATAATAGTTGATTGATATTTACTTTAATTTTTAAATTAATTTATAGTTTGTATGTCTAATTTATATTATAATATTATATTACTTTAATTATATATATAATTTTAGATATGTTATATATAATTTTATTGTTTTTACGGTCGATTTAGTTATCATTTAGATATATTGGATTCTATATATTTCTCTGAATTCAACTATAATCTTTAATATTTTATATATATATTAATTTTTTTTATTAATTGTCTTATTTGCATTTATGCTAGTTGTTATCTTAAATGTAAGTATATTTAGTAAGATTATATATAACTTAAGATTTTTTTGTGCTTAGAAGGAAAAAAAATTAAAACTAAAGTGTCTGATTCTAAATTACATACATAAATAACAAATGAATTCTTAGAAGCTTTTGAACACATATCAATATTTACAATAATTAAAATATTTTATAAATTCTAAATAAATTTATGCTTTAGATTGATTGGATGGTAAACTGAAAATTATTTTAAATAATTTTAAAATAAATATTCTGATTTGCTTAAGTATTTTGACTATGTTTATATTAAGTTTCATAAACATAAAAACAGAAAATTAAAAATCAAAAGATTTATTAACAAAACAGATAATTTTAACTATTAAAATATAATATATATACCTTGTTAATTTATATAGTGTTATGGTATTTTAAAATAATTGTAGTTTTTTTTTTTTTTATGTTTGTGAAACTTAATATAACCATAATCAAAATACTTAAGTAAATCAGAATCCTTATTCTTAAAACAGATAATTTTAACTATTAAAATATAATATATCTACCTCGTTAAATTATATAATGTTATGATATTTTAAAATAATTGTAGTTACTTGATCAAAAGATGTTTATTATTAAATTTATTTTTAGTTTTTTAAAATAGTCAGTAAAAAGTGATTTTTTTGAGAAATTATACTATATAAGTAAAATAGAATTTATATTTTTACTGTAATTGTAAGATATTATAGTCAAATAAATATCCTAAAAAAAGAATTTCAATAATAATTATTATAAAAAAATGTCAATTAAACATATGTTAGTTGATTATTTTATGTAGTCATCTAATAATATATATATATATACATAATAATTATTTTTGAAAATATATATATTTTGTTGTTTAAAATTATTTTTTTTAAGAAATATTTCTTTTTCTAATAACAATATTTTTTGTGTGAAA